CCACTTCTGGCTTTTTTCTTATGTGGTGCTGAGGAATTGAACCCAGGGCCTCATGCATGCAAGGCAAGCGCTCTACCACTGAGCCACCTTCCCAGCCCATGAGTACATTTCTTATCAAGCATTATTGCCTCCTCCTTTGTTTCCCCTTTGCATCTCTTTCCATGCCCCCCCCCTCGGCCCCATGCCAAAGTTGTAAAGTTCATTTTTCGACATAACATCTTGTACATCTCATTGTTGTAATGGGTCCACCTGTATCCCCATTTAAACACTTTGTTTTTTTCCTACCCCTCCACAAATTATACCAACATCAAATACAGTGAAAACAGGGGTTATACCATGGGGAGGAACATACAAAGAAATCATCTTATAAATATGTTAGAAACAATAGCAAGAAAGAAAAAACATTTGCATCTTTAACTTGGGGTTTATTTCGCCTAACATCAACTTATCTGACTGTTTCTGCTTGTTTCAGACATATACTAGTTATTGCAAATAAAGGAAACCATGGGACCTATGTTTCTTTGGGCCTGGGTTAATTCACTTAATTTTTTTAAGTGGCATTTATCAGTTATACCAGGGGAGATTTCATTATTACATGGAATACATGTTTACACACTATTCCAGTTTATCTCCCATATACACACTCCCTGATCAGATTCACGTTTTAATTTTCATTGCAATAAACTATGTCTGAGCCATAAATATGAGATAAACGATACATCAAATAGTAACAAATGCTTCAATAGTTGAGGAAATGTCTTTCTTTTAAAGTGTAATACTTTTAATCTCCCAAAGTTATTTAATAAACTGTATTAATAGTACTAGCAAATAATCACTGGAAGCTAAGTTTGTAAAGTCATTTATTTAGCACAACTACCCTAAGATGTGGGTATTATTTTAAAAGAAATAAAACTACCTAAGATGTAGGTCGTATTTATTTTAAAAGAAACTAAACTGAGACACAGGGAGTTGAAGTACTTTGGTCACTGTCACACAATTAAGAAGCAGCAGGACCAGGATTGGAACCCAAGCAGTCTGTTTTGATATGTATTCTTACTGTGTAATATAGCTAGCTATTCTTTTTTTTTTTTTCTTGCCAGTCATGGTGCCTGAACTCTGGGCCTGGGCATTGTCCCTCAGCAATTCAGCTCAAGGCTAGTGCTCTACCACTTGAGCCACAGAGCCACTTCCAGCTTTTTCTGCTTATGTAGTACTGAGGAATTGAACCCAGGGCCTCATGCATGCAAGGCAAGCACTCTACCACTGAGTCACCTTCCCAGCCCTATACCTAGCTATTCTGAAAGAGCAAAACATACTTAATAGATAATAATGGTATATTAGCAGATCCTCTCTCCCAAGTGCTGAACATTGTGCCAAGTGTTCATACAGTCAATCTTAGTTAATCCTGACCACTACAGAAGACAGGTAACAGCCTGAAAAGGAAACTGGGTCTTAGATAGTTTATGTAACTTGACCAAGACAGTAAAGTGAATGAATAAATGAAAAGGGGCATGAGAATTCTAAGTTGTATCTGTCTTACTCAGAAGCCTATCTGCTTCCCACGAGGTATCATTTCAATTCAACTGTTCACTATGTAATTCAGTTTTTAATGTCTGTGTATTTGTTTAAATCTCTATACAGCTCACGAATATATACCTCTCTCTCCTGAGTAAGCTATGATTCTGCACACTGTTGTCATAACTCACAAATACCTTACAGGCATGTACAGAGGACATCTTATCAACTCCCTGTGATCTAGCTACAAGGAACAGCAGAGGATCCTATGCAACCTCATAGCACCCAACACATTCTTGGGAACTTCTCTGTAAACTGAATCTTTTGTAAATAAAGCATGGTCTTTTCCACGCAGGACACACACACACACACACACACACACGCATGCACGCACACGCACGCGTGCCCACACACACACACTTCCTCAGTTTTTACTTATAACCACCCAAATACAACCTACATTCTCTTCCAGCTAATACTCCCAACACAATCACACACTGAGATAATTGACAGCATCGACTGTTCACTATTTTTCCTAAAGTTGGAAAGGTTTTCCTGCTATAAACTACATGAGGTAAAGTATTCATTAAGGGCAAGAAAAATACTAGAAACACACGAAAACTATATATACTCCACTGTAAAACCCAAGGCTAGAACCTGGCTGTCAGGTCAAGAAAGGGTTGTTCAGCACTGAGCACAGATCCCAGCACCTGAACCCAGAGGAGCTGATATATACTTTTTGTACAAAAGTAAATAGGTACAGGGGTTTAGGATGCTGTTAATTCATTTAGTTCCTAAATTTATAATGATCTTCTTGTTTTTTAATAATTTATTATTAAGGTATTGAACAAAGGGGCTACAATTTTATAAGTCAGATAATGAGTACAATTCTTCTTAGACAATGTTACCCCTTCCTTCACTTTACCCAGCTTCCCTATCCTGTTCTTGCCTACAAGTTGCACGGTTCATTTTTTATATAGTATATATTAAATATCATGGCTGCATTTGTTTACCTGTCTTCCTCCATTTCTATGCCCCCCTTTGTCCTCCCTAAAAAGACAAAACAAACAACGATAACAAAAAGAACATGCTTCCATTTCCTGGAATTCATTTTGATAAACAGTATTTTAGATGTTCAGAGGAGTTTTACGCCTTTGAGTTTTCCCTAAGAGTATTCTCCTTTAGTCTGTTTGTATGTGAATGCCTAGAGTCCCATGTAGGTTATCACATCCAGTTGTATTTTAGATCTAGCTTTCACTTATCTCTCTAAGTTTGGCTTACTTCACTTAACGTGATTTGTTATAGGCCCATCCACCTTCCTACAAATGACACAATATTATTCTAATGAATGAGTAAAATTCCATTATGTTTAGGTACATTTTTTTTAAAATTAACTCATCTGCTGGGCTGTTTTTTGTAACTTGGGTATTGTGAATAGTACAGCAATGAACATGGATGTGCAAGTGTCTTCACTGTATCCTGACTTGTAATGTCTTAGGTAGATGTCCAAACAATAAAATCTTTATGTTTAAAGAAAAATAATGCATATCTATTCTGATACGAGTAAAATATGGAAAAATATTCTCCTGCAAAACATGTAGAAAATATCAACCCCTTCAACTACTCTCTGCCAATAAAAACCACACTGTCTGGAAGCTGATGAAAAATACCAGTCTTTACTTTCATATTCATAGAATTAGATCTAAAAGAATACAGCTTTACTGGGTAAAGAGAATTCTGATGCTTAATACACAAATGCCTCCCTAATGTTCTCTACTTCACTTTTCTGTGTCTTATTGTTAATCATTACTTTCAGTTTGTTGAGCTGTAAATACTTAAAATTTGCCTTTACTGGACCCAAGAATTAACTAAAAACAGGAGAAAAGCTTGGCATCTGTCTCTACTTTGTATGTATCTCTGCTCTAAGCCATTCATTCTCTCTGGAGTCACTTTGAAATTACCTTGGAATCCAGGAAGGGTGAGACTAATCTGAACATCTTTATGACAAGGGATGCAAAATTACCCCTAAATAATAAAAGAGCTTTCTCAAGACAGACCACCCATCAGGCAACGATGACTTTAATTTATTCTGACCAGTGGCGACAGCAATAACTTCTCTAGACTCCCTCATCTCCAAATATGGACTGAAATAATGGCCAATCGAGACCATAGTTTGTACAGGAATATTTAATAAGCATACATACCTCTTTCCTTCAGCCTCCATTTATATCCCAAATGGGGTACAAATCTTTATGTTTTGAAGATAGGCTGAAGACATGTTCAAGTGCTGCCTTCCCATGGCTGCACTCTGCCATGTCATAAACCTCCTCTCTACCTTTCTCCATGTCTCTGCTTGGCATATATAGGAAGATGACTGGACTTGACCTGTGGAACTCCAGGAGTTTGGGTGTTGGGTTTGGTTTCAGAGCTACAGGTCTGAAAAAAAATAAGCTGGTCTGATTCTCTTAAGATCCCCATGAGACCGATGATATTGCACCCTTTTATAAAAGCCCAAATAACTGAGGTGCAGTGAGATTCTGTAAATTGGCCAAGGTCACACTCCCAGGAAGTCAGAGCCATAATCTGAAACAAGAAATACTTTCCTCCAAAGTGAAAAATGCCTACCCATGCTTCTCCACTTTCTACATACACAAGCCTAACATGGGACTCTTGCTAAATAAATTGCAGATTCTGGCTCAGTATGGCTAAAGGGAGGCCGGAGTCTGTATTTCCATTAGGCTCCCAGAGATGGCTGCTACCGCTGGTTTTGGAAGCTGAGTAGCAAGTGGTACACCACATTTCTACAGTCCTTGCCCTCATGTAGCCCTATGAATTGACTTAATCAAGTCAGCTTTTCTTTCCTTCCCAGCTACCACTGTGAGCACAGTGCAGGCGTCTGCATAGTCAGCCCTCATCACTATGCCAGAGCTGATCCCAGACACTATCATGGCTTCAGGGCCAGAACATAAAGGATTACAAAGATGAATTCTTTTTTTTCAATGTAATGTTTATTACATGCTTATTACTGTGCCCATTATTAAAATAACCAAAGAAAAATCAATTTAAAAATGCCCAACTATCAGTCCAGGCAGTACTGACATTTCAGC